TATACTAGTAATGTCCAGTTTTGTTTAGTTTTTTTATATGGGAGAATTTTAAGGTGCTTTGTGTAACTTTTCTGGTCGAGGGCCAGTCAAATGCATTCCCCAGTGAAGATGTTATTGCTTTGTCTGGGATGTTTCACAGTATGACATTAAACATTTCTATCGTCATGGAGACTAAACTAGGCCAAGTTATTGGTCAGATCTGTGGAGAGGCCACACTCACAACCAGAATGCCAGATTTTCTAGGTATTTTTGAGTTATAAACTCTCCTGTAATTCAGTAAATGCAAGGTTGAGCTATTTAGTTTCAAACTGGAACATTCCAGACAGACCAGTGACATCTCCGTAGAAACAAGCAGGTGACAGATCCCCTACCAAAAAGTTACATAGTGCGCCTTTAAGACTATGTGGGCCTGCGATAATCTCCTGTATCAATGGGAAACACTGCACAATTAAGCTTTTAAGTCATACAGGATGTTTTACACATTTTTAAACAAATCTTTTCTATTAGGTAATCATAGGTTTCCTCCAATCTATACAAATTGGGAATGGCGTCCCTTTAACATCTGTGTCCCCCTGGCCTCGCTAACTCATTTACACACAGTTGACAATCAAGGACAGTTGGTTTTGAGCGGTGTCAGGACAGTTTCCCTCTCACGGGGAGTCTCCAAACGGCGGGCGCACTGGCACGCTGTCAAACACTCGGAGCGAGCGTTTTTTTACGGCCGGGCACTGAACGCCATCTGTCAGTCACTGTGGGAGGACATTACCGGCTCCACATACGGCCACTTTCTGTCCACCCAAAGCTGTATTTATGTTGCACCAGAACGAGCCTGTGTGTCCACCAATGGCAGCGTCAGTCTATTTATTCTGCAGAGTTTGAATGCAGCATGCCTAATTTGTGTTATGTTTTTTGCTATAAAAAAGATTTGCAAATATCAAGTCCAATTGTGTGACATCAGTGTGGAGTAAATGGTTGAGGTGAAACTTTTGGATGAATTATGGTGCAAATGTTTGTGAAAGTATCCATAAGGTGTGATAGATAGCTGTATTAAGCGTTTACTAATGTGTTACAGATGTGGTCCAGGCCATTCATTACAGACAATGTGTTGCTAGGTGGTGAAAAATCCATTGTCTGCTGCTTTTCATATATTTTAAAATGACAGTGACAAATTCCGCCTGCAGCATCTGTTGGTTTTAAGTGGTGATAAGTTCCAGCCACAATTGATTTTTGTTTAAAGTTTGTTCCTAGACCTCGTGTCTGTGAAATAGAACTTTTTAGAATACATGCATTTTTAAAATTTAAGCATGTCATAAGGACTGTCTGTAGAATTGTGTTTGGTTTGGTTTGCAAAATTTAAAACATTTTACTGGTACTAATACTGAACATATTTCTCTCAAAAGGTATCAATCTTATTTCACTTTTTATTACACTAAACTTAAACTTCTATATTTGAGCTATCAAGTCCACCGTGTCAGCTTTTCCCTTTCCTTAAAAAGTGCTCTGGACCACCTGTCATTCACACCATCCATTCATGGCAAAGTGAGTGAACTGTTGGCCAGGTGGGTGAAGTATCTTGTTCAACAGCACAACATCAATATGCACTGGCCAACATCTGGATTGGTTTCATTTATGTTGAGAAGTATTTATTTAAAATGTCACCTCTGTCCATCGGTGCCCTTATTTGACTCCTGTCTTTAGCATAGGCTCAGCCCTGTATCATACAGTGTATCCACACCTCATAATCAGTGGCAGACTCCAGCAGCAGATGACACGTCCGGCCTGATTTAAAAGACCGCTCTCGTATGTCGCTCTCCTCCTGCTTGGTCGCCGCCGCCCTGATGGACAAAGAGAAGTGTCAACAGCACCTCCTCACTGCACAATTAACATGCAAATGAGGCCTGTCGCTAATGGCGATGGCAGAGCAGCTCTTATGATGGAAATATGCTTTCTGTTTTGGCAGTATGGGTTAAACATTATGTGCAGAATCAGCTGAGGGAGCAGTGGGTTATGGGGCAGGGGTGGGAGGGGTCCCTGGGGACTTCCCTTAGGGCAGTGTGGGGTAGAAGAGAGAGAATGGACCATGCACCTGCTTCACTAACTACATCTAGACAGAGGACGGGCGGCGCTTCTAATCAGCTGTCACACATGGTCCATAAGTTATCCACTCAACTGCTTTTGTTCTACACAGAGACTTGTGCTTCAGGCCACTGACCCTGATCATGGGGACATTTATTTTCAATAGTGAGCCTCAGGCACAGGTCTAGAAGCAAGAAAACACACCAGCTCAACCTCTTCCAATAGAAAAAAATCAAAAATGCTTCATCACTCTGTTACTGTTCCATACATTCTTTCTCTGATTAATTCTGGTCTATTTAGCACATGTTGAACGACCGAAAATGTTTATAAAATTCCATATTGAATGAACCAAATTAGAAATACTCTAATGTATAAAACATGTAACTATATTTTCAAATAATCTTCAGGTGTTTGTTTTGTTTTTTACATTTTTTAAAAAAGCACCCTAGGTAATGGTTTGACCTTTAACTTTTGTTTGGTCATATCTTGCCCATAGGTGCTAAGCATTGCACCTCATACTGTTTTTAAATGATTATAAATTGAGTTGTAATTCATAGGGCAGTGTCTTGTATAGGCCCTTGTTAGCATGTGTCCAAGATCCAAAAGAAGTGTCCAGACAAAGGCTGTCCCTCTCTAAAGTGTTAGAGCTCACTGACTCCTATAGTAACAGGTGTGCGCTCTGTGGATGAAGCTGCACTTTATCAAGCCCCCTGAAAAGACCCTGTGACATCTACAAGTCCACTCAGTCATCACTGTTGTAAAAGCAAAGTACACAGGATTTATGTGGAGGCTATGGTCATCTGGCCGTTCATTCAGGGTTAATGCAATGGGCCGCAGCTGCTTCGGGCCTTGCAACAGAGAAACTGGAAGGAAATAAACCTGCCCTGTAAAATACATGTCATGTGTTATTACATTGAGTGGTTGGATGTAATCTGCAATATTTTGAAAAATCTGCATTTATTGTATGATTTGAAACAAATATAACCATGTCCATAATAAGTCCAGTTTAACTTTGCATGAAGCAAACAGAGTTATGGCACCTGGCCAAACAAGCCGTTGCTTGTGGAGAGACATTTATTTTACACTGTCCCGTTTGTAGTCAGGCCCTGAAATCTCCTCATTTACATTTGCTCCCATTTGTCCTGCATATTATTAACATCAGTGTTTGAGCGTGTGGGTCTGTCAGCCTGTACCACCGCTCTGTGGCAGCAGCAGTTGTCTTTGCTTAACTCGGCTCCTAATTAGCCAGAATTAAGAAGTATTTCTGCGCCCATTGAAGAGTCCATTTCCTTTGAAAGCCGGGCATAATAAACCTTAAGTAATTACCCGGGCTCATGACTATTAACTCACAAACTGCCAGCTTCCCTTGACAACATCCGCGTCAGTGTTATGCGCTTAAAAGGCCATTGCAGCTTCCCAGCTATTTACATCCCATCTGGCAGTGCGCGCGCTCTGTGCTCATTCCTAAAGACAAAAAGAAAAGTGCGAAGTCTTTCAGCGCTGCCCCGACTCAGACACAAACACACACCGAGCTCCCAATAAGTTACAAAAGGCCTCGCTCTGTTTTAATCCGTGCTCATTTACACATTGGCCGAGGCCGCGGCGGTGGTCTGAATATATCTAGTATAGTTTAGGAACCTGTAATCCCGTGCGCTTCAGTCTCTGATGTCTTTCCCTCAGCTGGTCCCCCGTGAACAATTAACTTGTAATCTCCACAAACATACATTCTGTCTGCGCGGAGATGAGAAAAGCGAGCACCCAAGGGACACGGCGCGCAACAAACCGCTCGGGTGCGCAGGGACGTGTTCAGCTGGGCTCCATTAGCGGCGTAACGTGAGTCCCTTTGCGCTTCATCATTCGCCTTTTACCAAATAGTGTGTTCTCTGTGTGAAAATGTTTCTGTAAAATATTGTGGATGAGGTGGCTGCCTCTGAGAGCTGCGGGTATGGGACTATAGGCCTACTGAAGGCCAACAGGCCTACACTCAAATATGTAAAAGAAAGTGCGCGTTCTAAATTTCACTAGCCTTTATCATTAACAAATGTGGGGATGGCCTTATAGTTGCAAAGCAAATATAAAACATGTTCTCTAAAAGTGTATTTATTAGTAATATTATTTATCTCAGTCATACCTTTTTTTTAGGCAAATGATGATGATAATAATAATAATAATAATAATAATAAAGTATATGTTTGATGTGGCTCAATACCAGTAGAAGGCCATTTATTTTGAGTGAACATAATTTAGGCCTATTGGAAAATGTCAGACTTTGTGCGCATGCAGAGAAAAATCATTTTTAAAATATGTTAGTTGTCAGTTGTATATATTTTTGTTTAGTTCGCTAAATGTATAGGGCCAGGACATTGTGACAATTGATGCTGCAGAAAAGAGAGAAACTTCCAAAGATATGATCATAATCTGCATTTTATTGAAATATTCTCCAGGAGCTGGCAATAATAAATATCATCATTAATCAACAATGTACAAAAATAAAGACACTGGTCTCTGGCATAACAAATTCTGTTCAGCAAAACAGCCATGCTGGGGTCATTGCTGTATACACCATGCAGAAAAGAAGGAGCGCGCATGAGGGACGCACAAAATCACATGACGCACAACAGTCAGTCCTTGTACAAGGCACAGCACTCTTCGATTTCACAAAATGAGGATAAAATAAACGTCCATGCAGCAGATTCCGGTGCCACTGCATAACACAAGACACTCAAGACCAGGTCAACCTTTTACCTCTGGCAAAATTATACGTCCTTGTTACAAGGAAAAATAAAGTTTTTCTTTTAGTCAAATCAAGAAAACACACACAGCATGCAGCGATGCCCAGACACTCCCTATAATCTGTACAACCTATGTACATTTTCTATATAAACTTTATACAGTGTTTGACACAGTCTCTGTCTGTTAGTGCGTTATTTCATGGTGTCCTTGCTGTCGGCAGTGAGCCTCGTGAGGCCGCTGGATGAGATGGGGATGTGCGGAGGAGGCTGGCAGATGGCGCAGGGACACGGCAGTCCTGCCCAGTGCTGGAAGCCCGAGCCCAGTGGCAGCGCGGGTGGAGCAGGGGGCGAGCCCTTCATCAGAGAGTGCGGGGGTCTCATAGAGGCCAGTCCGGGGAGAGAGCCAGGCAGCGACCCGGAGGCAGAGGTGGAGAGCAACGGATGAACCTGATGTGCCGCTGCCGCTGCTGCTGCTACTGCTGCAGCCACTGGCCCTCCCGAGTGTCCTCCAGAGTGAGCCCCGGCGACTGTCCCGCAGTGGAACGCGGAGTGTTGCCCGCCGTAGATCTCTCCAACTAGCCGCTTCATTTCATCCAGGGAGCTCGTGAGCATCAGGATGTAGTTCCGCGCGAGGAGAAGTGTAGCGATCTTTGACAGCTTCCGCACCGAGGGCCCGTGCGCATAGGGCATCACCTCGCGTAGCCCATCCATGGCGAGGTTCAGGTCATGCATGCGTTTGCGCTCTCGGCCGTTGATCTTAAGGCGAAGTTGGTACATCTCTTCCTCAGTGACCTGCTTCTTCAGCTTGTACTTACTGCTGCCTTTGCTGTCGCCGGACCGCAGGTGCTCGGGGGTCATCTTGTGACGCTCGGTGTTTGAAGTGGAGGACACGGAGGAAGCCACGTGGTGGTGCGGGAGATGATGGTGCTCGCGCAAGAACATGTCATCCATGTCCGGGGAAGATGCTCTGCTGCTCGCGCTCGAATCGGAATTCATTTTATGTGCGCCTGGGCCCAGGTCCTCTCTCTCTCCTTTACTCTCTCTCCTCTGTCTCTGCGGAGTGCGCGGCGTCAGCTGTTATACCGTCCACTGTGTCACTGTGTGTCTGTGCTGTGAGGCTCGTTCACAGGCTATTTATACGCGCGCAAGGCTCAGAGCTTTCCTATTCGGCCGCGGGTTGAAGGGTTGACGGGGAAGGGGCGGTGAGCTGGGACTGTCCCATTCACTGCCATTATCAGTGCGCGGTCGGGGGCGCAATGCCGCTCCTCTGTTCCCCGCGCTCTGCTTTCTCTTTTCTTTTTTCTTCTTAACGTAAATATATATCTTGATGTAGTTTATAGATTTATACTTCTCCCGTATCATAGGCTACATTGTGTGCAATGTGATTCTGTATTACCCAAACTATTTCTCTGTGGTCTCATGAACGGTCAGTTGTATTTCATTCTGTTTACTTCTTTTGGTTTAAACTGTTTTTGATGGCATTTTACAGAAAGCATCGTGATTTGCTTTGGACGACCTGTAAAAATAACCCATTTTATGCAGAGTATACCATTCATCTTTATAATAAGGAAAATGGATGCTAAGCAGAATAATTTCCTCAAATGTATTATTACTTATTTTTATGCCTCCAGCGTTGAGCTGATTCTCTGTTGGAGAGCAGTGGAACGCGGGAAGCTCTGCTGCGTAAAGGCACGCACCAGAGGAGGTACTGCTGAAAGAATAGTAATAAAAAAATATATATAATTAATAGGCATATAATAATAATAATAATAATAATAATAATACATTTGTTTTTATTAGTCATCATTGATTACCTATTTTACGACAGATAACAAAGAGTCCACTCTGTTTAATTTTTGAAAAAAAAAAAGTGCTATAATTTTATGTATTAGTTTTATTAACTTGCCCCTGAGTTTTCACTTCAATATTTGCAAACTGTACTTAACAAAACAAAAACTTTGTTAGTGACAGATGTAGACAATAACTGGTCAAGTAGGCTACATGAGACTTAAAACACTAGACGTTAAGACTTTTAGCATTGTTCCACTCTGTGCTCTCTCCACTCTGAAGGGTCCACTCCAGATCTGTTGTGTGCTGATGGAGAGCCAGAGAAGGCCTTAACAAAAACATGTGGACAAACTCTGACCACCACCAACTCCACATCCCCCTGCCGTTCTCCATCTGCACCCGCTCCTGCCTCCCACCCACATAAAAACTGTCACAGATTATTCTCCACCAATGAGATCCCCTTGGTCAAAGCATTAAAAAAACTGCATTCACGTTCCTTATTGTTGGTCCAGCAAAAGAGACCAGCTCATAAAGGTGCGGCCAGTGCCTTTGCTCTCTCTTGGTGGCATTAGAAAGTGTAAAGCTTTGAATACCAATTGCTTGAACGGGACATATGTGAATCCGCTGTAAGCCTGCTAATCCTGTCCCCGAGTGTTTCTTTGTGTGGAGGGGGCTTCCCCATACACCACAGAGAAAGTGTCCCTAATCCCGCCAAACTGCTCCGATAAACTGGAGAGGACACTGAGGGGGCCTATAGGACCAACATGTGTCTGTGAAGGCAGGTATATGACGATTGCTAGAATATTCAGTTATATAGAAATTTCATTCAAAAATAGTGACACTAAAAACACACAAATCACATAAGACTGTAAACTGAATTGTAGTAGCAAATCTTGCATACATATTGTTTTGTAAAATTAAAATACACTAGTTTTAATTCAAATTTTGTGTCATACTATTCACATCATTAGTTCAATAAGCTATAAACAGCCTTTAAACTGAAATGTTTTTTTAAACGAAGCCATTATTTTTATTATTATTTTTGTAGATTTTTTTTTCTCAAAAAATAAATGAATAAATATATATATATATATATATATATATATATATATATATATATATATATATATATATATATATATATATATATATATATTATTATTATTATTATTATTTTATTTTTTTTTTTTTTAACCTTCTTGACATGTGTTTGCTGCTAGCCGCCAGCTGTTGTTTTTTTGTATTCACAGTAAAAAAAAATTGTAAGATAAACTGCATGCTGATATTGTTAGCCTATTTGTTGTTGCCAACCTATTTATACATTTGGATTATTAAATTTCCTATTTAATCAAATCCTTTTAAATGTCTTCCAGTCCCTGTGTGCAGGGAGTGCAGATCCCTCCCATGTTCCCCTGGAGTATAAGCTCTCCTACAGAAGTGCACTTACAGTTTCTCAGGCGGCAGCGGTCAGTCTGCAGAGTCACAGCTTTAACAGAGATGTGCTCCTTAATATCAGACCCACAGCAGTGGGTGGGGGCAGTCCCTGTGGTGGGTGGGCCAGGCCTAATGAGCCCAGGGCAGGACAGAAGAAGTGAGGGGTGCCCCAGTGTACAGCGAGGGCCCTGAGAGCTGCCCTGAGAGCTGCCCTGAGAGCCGCCCCGGGGGCTCTGTGCACAGGAGAGGTAGGAGGAGAGATGTAAAAGTACAGGGGCAGCCGTGGCTAAGGCCAAGGTCACTCCAGACTGATACAGTGACCCCAGACATGACCTGCCCAATTGGAAGAAAAACATTTTCCAAGGAACAGCCATTCAGCTTCATAACAAAATTAGTTTTACTTTCACTTTTGAAGTCAGAGCCTGAAGCCGTAGCATTTGAATGGCAGATGGATTACGGAAAAGTGGAACCACATTAAAGCCTCATCTTCACCATTAGTTTGTAGGTAAAACACTTTGAATAACTTTTGAAAGAAGACTTTTTTGGCTGATTCTTCTTGGACTAATTCTGCCTAAAAGTGGATATCAATAAGATTTGTGTCTTTCTCCTCTGTGTAGCACAAAGTAAACAAACCTTCAAATTATGGGCAGCCTTTAATTAAAAGAATGATCAAACACTACAGCGCTAAGGAGCATGAATATGGCCAGACTCATTAATATCTGTGAGTCTGTTTTGTTCTCAGGAAGACACAGGCTTTAATTAGGCAAAAACAAGTGAAACTAATGTTTTGAAAATTCTATAAAACAAACCTTCATGTCTTGTTTCATTTGGTAGAAATGTTTTAATACAATCACAACTTTAGAAAGTACAGTACATGAAGCATGGTGGTGAGGAGATTAGACAATTTTTAAAATAAATTTCTTAGCTAGTATCCCACTGTTATTTATGGAATCTTTCTGTAGAACTTCGATCTCTCCTGATGACTTTTCTGACAAAGCTTGAAGAAACTTAAACTCTTTATAAGTCCAGTGTTTGTTTGTTGTCTCACCTTGACAATGGTCGACTGCTTGTTTCCTGTGGTCATCACAGGATGTGTTCTGAACTGTGCTGTTAACTTATTTATTTTGCTTTATCTCTGTGAGAGCAAACAAACACTGATCTAATGAAAATAAAAGCAGTGCAGAGTTGAAAGTGCTGAGACCAAATGAACCTCTTTGGGAAAGCTTGTAAAAAAAATGTCCTATGAAAAAGTCTTATATAGCACTTTTCCAGAGGCTCAAACTTTACAGTTTGGTGCATTATTCATTCACTCCATACCTAGTGGTGATAAGATACTATTGTAGCCACAGTTGCCCTGGGGCAGACTGATGGAAGTGAGGCTGCCAATCTGTGCCATCAGCTTCTCTCCTACACCAACATTGATTGTTGGTGTAGGAGTGCGTGGCATGTGATTTTCCTGGTGGTCTCTCATCTAAGTACTAACCAGGCCCAACTCTGCTTAGCTTCTGACATCTGAGATGTAGTGGCTGTTTAGGCACTACATTTGCCCCATTGGAATGCACTGGATCAACCTGTTAGAAGCAGTGAGCAGCCCTCTCCATATCTTTGTTCTAGACTTGTGGATAGATCCAAATGAAGAACATTAGCCATGACCTTCAGCAGTGAGTATGCAACTTTCCAGGAGACCTATGGATCACTTTTTTCATAATTTTGTGCCATTTCTAGAGTAAATTTATAATAAGCTTTTCTCTGTTTTGTGCACTGTATTGAACAATTGCTTTAGTTATTGTTGGTAACTTCAATAGTTTTTCACTTATTCCCTTGTAATTTACTGAAGAACACTGCAGCAATAAAATGCATTTTGTATCAGACTCCCTGTAAAAGTGACAAAAGGAAAGAGCATATGTCACTTGTAACTGCATTGACACTCCAGCTGTTGAGTGGTAACCTACATCCAGACATGGGTCCCGTTTACCCCCTCACTCATGTCTTACACCACACATGTTTAATCTCTCCTAACCCACAAACAGCGCCTTGTATGGGGACCCCTGCCTTATTTTCTGGTCATGTGCACCCATTGCTCTGGGCCCAAGCGGACACAAAGTGACACAGCCAGTAGAATGAGCAGGAGAGGAGACGAGGAGCTGAGAGGAGAGAAACAGGGAGGTGGTCGATTGTCCAGAGTTGAATGAGATGTTTAAAAAGAGAAGTAAAAGCTGGAGAAGGATTGTAGCTATGGCAGTGGTCTGCGTGTGGCATAAGTGAGTATTAGTTTCTATGAGTGACAGTGATACAATGAGGACTCTCTAAAACAATCTTGTAAGAAAAGGGAATACTTGAAGAAATCATTTACACTTTGGTGTAACTACACTTTTAATAGCCTTAATAAAGCCTGATTTAAGACTAATTCATAATTAACAAATAGTTTATTAAGAATGAGTCAGGCTTATAACTACATATTATTTACTGTAACCTAACTCTTTAATTAAGTTTTTTTACTTAATTAAAGGGCTTAATTAAAGGTGCATTGTGTAACATTTCTAGTGGAGGGCCTGCCACCTGCTTGTCTCCATGGAAATGTTTTTTTGCTTTGTCTATTATGTTCCACAATCTAGTTACAGCACTATGCTATATAACAGTTCATATCTGTGGAGAAACGTCTCTACTCACAGAAGGAATTATTGAGCAACGAAACACCTGTAATGAATAAATTCTAGATGGATATGTTTAATGTCATACCATGGAACATTCCATGCAAAGCAATAACATCTCCA